AAATAACTCAATTCCGAAATAACTTCAGTAAATTGTTGCCAAACGAGTTATTTGTAAAATTGTTCGAATTACCCTAAAAATAGAACTATTAAAGCTTAAATTGTTCATATCAAATTTTATTAAAGAACTTAGTGTTCAAGTGCACTTCATGTTTCAATTTTTGTAATTTTCTTAAAATACACAATATCAAGTGAGTTTCATATTTTTTAAATTCCCTATATGAAATGAACAAATAATTTTACCTAGGTTTAGAATGAAAAACTTTATTTTGAAAAACTATGTATTATATAATATAATAATTATTCATATGAATTAGGTGAAGTTCGGGTTGAGTCGGTCGTGTTACGGGTTAGTCGGGTTAGGATCATTCGGGTTTGGGTTACTCGGGTTGCGGGGCAGTCGGGTTGCGGGTTAGTCGGGTTGCAGGCCAATTGGGTTGTGGGCCGGGCGGGTTACGAGTTGTTGACTTTTAGTCAATTCGGGTTGCGATCGGGTTAATCGGGCGGGTTAGTCGGATCGGGTTCTGTTTTGACACCTATATGCATGTTTGCTGAGGTGTTTCAAGTTATGCAATGATAGTCGGCACTAGCTAGCTAATAGCTGCGATTAAGTCTATAAGATAAGAGTTGATGGGCGCATGTTCAAAGTTTCTACACACAAAAAAAAAAAAAATTTATATCAAATTATAGAATAACATGAAAGCTGCTACATCATAAGACAATTATAGAATTACAAACAAGCATAGCAGTTTCCAAATCTTCGGAAGAACAATCACTCCAATAACTCCTCATGTATGCTTCAAAATTTGTACTCATTTAATTCTATTACCAAGAAACATATTCATTAACATTGGACGTCTTTAACCAAATACGCCGATTGCACTAACAATGTTTCGTGCGGTCCAGAAGTCAGAAGCGCTCTATCGTTTGCAAAAAGTGATGGATAGTTTCCTCCACATCAAGGCAACTTGTGAGAAAGGTTTAACCTAGTTGCTGCTAGGGTTTCACATGAGTAAGAACGAGAGAGGATTTTAGGAGAAATGGCAAACCGCCTTTTCCATTTTCACTGTTTCATATATATATAGATCATAGCAAAGCAATTGACATAGCAACTAACACTGTACTCACGGCTAACTCTAACTAACAATTAAACTAACCAATCTTAAGTGGGTAAGTACGGATTAATTACAATGTAAGGAAGAAGGCAGACGAAAAACGACGACGTTCTTCTTTATTTATGTTGATGTTGTCTTCGGAGATGGGTCTTGAAAGGAAGCCCGACTTCCCGTTAGACAACCCGAAAGCCCATTGTCTTCGTTCCTCCATTAACAGAGTTGCAGTTTTACCATCTTCATCATTAAGCTCTGCACCTCTGCTTCACATGCCCCCTCAAGAAGGAGAGTACATGTCATGTACTCCTAGTTTGATCAACAAAGAATGAAATCGATCTATATATAAGGCCTTGGTAAAAAAATCAACCAACGAATGCTTTGGCTTCAAATGATTAAGGGTCAACAAACCAGATTTCAATCTTTCATGGATAACATGGCAATCCACTTCGATGTGCTTCATACGTTTGTGAAATACTGAATTTTCAGCAATGTAAATTGTTGATTGATTGTAACAAAACATCATGACAGGTTCTGGATGCTTAATTCCAAAGAACTCTAAGATTAATTTCAACCACTGTACCTCGCACGACAACTGAGCCAATCCGAATAACTATAGCCACTAATTTGCAAGCTGGTACAAAGGAAAACAATTAACCTTGACTTGGAGATCTCTTAATATATCTCAAGATTCTCTGTAAGGCCTTCAGGTGTGTGGTAGTTGGAGAATCCCGAAACTTACTAAGTTGTTGCACTAGAAAGCAAATGTCAGGTTTGGTGGTTGTAAGATATTGCAATTGTCCCAACAAATGCCTGAAAACTGAACCATCTTCTAACTTGACTCCATCTTAAGAAGATAAGGTTGTCTTCATGCTCATAAACATTTTAACATGCTTACATTCAAGCAAATCTACATCTTTTAACATTTCCAAACATAACTTCCTTTGGTATAAAGAGATGCTTGCATTATTCCTGGCTATCTCCAATCCAATGGAGTACTTTAGAGTACCCAAATTGTTAACCTTAAATCCTTTCTACAACTGCTGCTTGACCAATTGGATGTCATCCAAGTTAGGACCAGCTAATATATTGTAATCAACATACACCACAACAATGATGCTGGTACACTTAAACAAACTGTAATCCTCATAGGATTGCTTGAAACACAATTTGTAAAGAATTTTGAAAGCTTGAGATACCACTGTCGGGTAGCTTGCTTCAAGTCATATAGGGATTGTTCTATCTACAAACCTTGCCCTACAGGTGACTTATTTCTCTCAAACCTGGAGGTAACTCCATATAAATCTCTTCCTCTAAGTCACCATGCAGGAAAGCGTTGCTAACATACATTTGATGTAGGTGCCATTGTTTGACTGCTGCAATGGCAAGAAGCAACTTGACATAACTCATTTTAGCCACAAAGGAAAAAGTATCAACATAGTCAACACGATAAATCAGAGTGTACCACGTTGCAACCACACATGCTTTAAACTTTTCCACATCACCTATAGAAAGAAATTTAGTCTTGTAAACCCATTTAATGGCAACAATTTTAACACCAGGTGACCTAGGAACAATATCCCAAGTTTTGTTTGCCTCTAGAGCGGAAGTTTCATTCTTCATAGCTTGTTGCCACCAAGAATGCTTAGTATCCTGGAAGTAGCTTTTAGGAACTATGGAAAGAGAAATTCTATGGAAAAAAACTTTGATGAGAAAGTGAAAGGTGGGAATAGGAGATACTAGTAGCCAATGGATATAGAAGCTTGGAATCAAAGTAACAAGCAGATTGGCAAAGAAAAGAAGTATGAAAGTACTTGAGATGAAAAGGAAGTTTGGTAGTTCGAGGTGGTTTTCTAAGAGTAATAAGGACAGTATCAGGAGAGCTAGGAGGAGAAGAACCTTTCGAGGCAGTGAAAGAAGGAGAGGAATGAGTGTAAATAGGGTCAGCAATCTCATGAGTGTTGTGATCAGGAGGTAAATGATAGGAAGAAGTACGTGGATAAGAAGGTTGAGGATCGTCATTCTCAACTGAAACAAAGGGAAGTGAAGAAAGGTGTTGATCAAGACAAGAAGAAGGAGAATTGTTGGAAGAAGAACTACTTGCAGTTTGTAAGAAGGGAAAAACTTCCTCATTGAAATGAACATCTCGATTGGTGAAGACACTTTGATTCTCCAAAGAATATAACTTGTACCCCTTGACACCAAAACTATATCCTAGGAATACATACATAGTTGCTCGAGGTGCAAGTTTTGGTTTTTTTACTGCAACAACAGTTGCATAATCAAGATATCCAAAGACCTCGAGTTTACTATAAGCAGGGGGATACCATATAAACATTCAAATGGTGGCTTTTCACCTATATGTACAGGGATCTTGTTGATTAAATAAGCAGCATGAATGAGAAAGTAACTACATAAGCTATTAGGGAGTCCTGACTGAAATTTCACATTCAGACTTAATAGGAGAAACAATCTCATTACATTATTTATTTACTACTTATAATCTAGTAAAGGAAAGATTTCCAGATCTATTGTGCCACAAGCTGGTATTTTCACTGGTGCTCACTCCAAGGATAAGTAGTTTGCAATTCTCTCTCTGCCATTAGTGTCTCCAAGCAGGTATAGTCCTCTATCTACCAGGATTAAAACAATCCTCTATTGAGAGATGAGGTCCTGAATGGAGCATAAAGATGATTGAAAGAGAAGTGAGAATGGACTATTTTTAATAAGTTGGATGACTGAAATGAGATTGTAAGAGAAGGATGGAACTAAAAGAATTTTTTTTATAATGATGATAATATTAAAGATAAAGAAAGCAGAGGGTCCAAAAAAACAACACCTTGAGTTCAAAAGAGCCGAACTGCAAGAAAGGCATAAAAACATAACAAGAAAAGCAAAAAATAGAGGCACAACTTACCACCTAGACAGATCAGACCGTCCCTAGAGGAAGCGGAAACTCAGAAAATAGTGAGGAGAGTTGACTAGGTGGAGCACACCACCCCTGAGAGCAAAAAAAAAAAAAAAAAATTGAGCAAAAGCACAAATCACCAAACAAAGCGGCCACCCAAAAGCAACAACACGACGTCGAGACCTAAAACGCAGCGCATTCTGAGATGGACAACATCTGCAAAACGATGATCGAAATTGCTTGTTAAACATGTTGAAGAAGAGTCTGCGTCCAATGTGCAACTTGACCTCGAACAGCTTTACCCCTGGCAACAATCCAACCTAAAATAGCCTTGACCACTCTTCGTGCATTAACTTCCAGAGATGTCGAAACATTGTTAAATATCCTTTTATTGTGTTCCAACCAAATGTACCATGTAAGTGCATGAGGAGCGTTGTAATTGAACCAACCATCCATGGTATCAGGGACAATAGCCGACCAATCCTTGATGAAGGTTTTGAGTTCAACGTCTCCAGGAAAGATGACAGTCCTACAGCCTCTCTGCAACATGTTCCATATTTTTCTGGTGTAGCTGCATTTGACGAAAAGATGATTACTTGTTTCTTCCTCCTTACAGCAAAGCTTACAGCAATTCGCAAAAGACCATCCATTGTAGCATATCTTGTGTCAGCACCTTCCTGTCAGAGAGTATCCACATGAAGTAACAAATCTTCGCAGGTACGATCTTCCTCCAAATTGAGTCTAAGGGGTAGTTCGAGATGCCTGGGAACCTGTCATTGACGAGTGACCTATACATGGAGTAACTGAGAAAACATCCTTCAGATTGGGCCGCCAAACTAATCTGTAAGGATTGTTAGCTCCACACTGAAATTCAAATGAATGGAGATAATTAATCAAGCTCACCCTCTTCCTTTGAGCCCCTCTCTCAAATGAAATTTGATATCTAAATCAACCACAATACCATCACTTGAGAGTTTCACGATGTCACTGATCCTGACTTCCTGTTGTGAGGCAACAGCAATCCGGAGGATTCGCTCCTCCACCAGGGTCGATATGGACAAATTTCCAAAATAGTTTGTATTCACGAGTAACATTCGCCCAAACCGAGCTTGAGTAGCGACCTCTGATATAGCCTGTTTGCCATTGGGAAGTTCTGTTTGAATACTTTATATCGATAAGGGACCTCCACCAATTGTTACTGCTCACTGCATATTTCCACAACCACTTACACAACATTTCACTATTGAAAGATGCATGATCAACAATACCCAAACCGCCTATGTCCTTTGGAACCCTACATAGCTTCCTTTCAACCAAAGGAATCTTCTTTTATCCTCTGTACCACTCCAAATGAAATTCCATTGCATTTTCTCTAAATTGGATAACACTTTCTTTGGGGATTTGAAAAGCAAGAAGTTGTAAACATAGAGGCTTGAAAGGAAATATTTGTTAAGAACCAGTCTCCCACCAAAAGAGATACCTGGAACTCCATCTTTCTAATCTCCTTTGATAATTATTCACAATTGGCTACCAGAAGGTGCTGCAATTCAGCTTTTCCCCAAGAGGATACGAAAGATACTTTGGTGGGTTCCTTCTCCATTTACACCAATGATGTCAGCATAGAACTCGGGATCAGGGACGTCATCGACAATATACAGAACCGTCTTTTCAAGATTAATCTTTAAACCTGTCGTAGCCTAAAAGCACGCTAGAGTAGTAGTGATATACGAGAAATGTTCATGAGAGACATCACAAAAGATGAGAGTATCATCATCAAAAAGGAGATGAGTGATTTCCCCATCGTGTCCAACCTCATTCATATAGAAGCCCTCAAATTTACCCTCTTCCTTTAGTTTTGACAACATAAACGACAGGACATCCATGCTTGGAACAAATAGCAATGGAGAGAGTGGATCCCTTGACGGAGACCTTTCTGTTCTACGAAGAAACCTTTCGATTCACTATTGATCGAAATGGACAGATTATGGGAATTTTGGATCCACTTCATCCATTTCTCCTAAAAACCCAGCCTAGAAAGAACTTTGAGGAGACAACCTCAATTCACATTATCGAACGCCGATATCCAATTTCAGCCTGAGCCCGGGTTTCCTACTTCTCCTGTATTATCGACTAATTCATTGGCGAGTAACCCAACTTCAGAAATATGCTTTCCAAGCACCGAAGCCTGCTAGAAATCGGATACCAAGGATGGGAGAAAATGGTTGAGTCTTCTTGACAACACCTTGCAGATAAGTTTGCTAACACTTCCCATAAGACCAATAGGTATGAGATCTTTTATCTCCTCCGTTACATCTTTCTTGGGCATCAAGCAAATAAAAGAGTGTGTCATGTATCTCGAGAGAAATCTATTGTCATGGAACTCTTTGAAAGCAGCTAGGACATTCGTACTTACAACACTCCAACATTTTTTATAAGACATCCATACTTACAACACTCGGAGCCTTAGAGCCATCATAATCCTTCTGACTATCCCAAATTTCTTTGTCAGAGAAGGGTGCCTTGAGTGTAACAGCCTCATTAACAACTAGCTGTCTTATCACATAATTGCGAGGAAATGACCGAATTTGAATGTCTTCCAAAAAGAGGTTCTCATATTATCCAACAATGCCCTAAGCAACCTCGTCTCTGTCATTCACCACTTGTCCATTGATATTGATCTGTCATATAAAGTTTAGTTTTCTCCTTAAATTAGCCATTTAGTGAAAGAAATTGGTATTTTGATCACCTTGTTTGAGACAAATATCCCTAGATTTTTGCCTACAACAAATTTCCTACAAATATAACGCCTTCCTTAATTCCAACTTCTTCTCGACTTGTCTTGTAGCTTTGATATTAGTCAAAGAGTGCGTTTCTTCAATTAGATTTATTTCATGAATCTCTTTCAGAAGACGTTATCCCACATGAAAGCTTAACAATGCCTAAGTGTGTAACTGGTGTCTGTTGACCATTTGGCAAAGTGACTGACATGTTCTTAACTGCTCTAAAGAACAGATTATAGAGCAAATGATATGATCACTATCCAGGGTCGAAAACCCATAAATTGTCATTATATTTGTTTCTCGAGGTGAATATAATAGCAGTACATGTCATTGAAGTAACTTTGGCATTCACAGAGTGTGGTTGAGAACTATTGTGTGGAGCTAATGGCTTAAGAAGTGCCTTGAGTCTAACTAACTCTTCAATAGTTAAGCTAGAAAAAGTTGAGGGGGGGGGGGGATAAGAATCATACTGATGGAGTGGACTAGTGGAGTTGTATGAATTAACTCCTCCTAAAGAACTACCCTCCTACCCGGTCACAATAATGGAACCTGCAGAGCCTCTTCCTCTTCGTGCATTGGAGCTTGAATTTCCAGGATTGTTACCCAATAGTCCATTCTTCCTTTTTTATTCCTAGCGATCCTCCTAGACATGGTTATTGACTCACTAAAACACAACACAAAACTAAGGCCAAGTGTAGTGAGTTGTTCAAAAGCAAAGTAATCAGAAAGCAGGAAATGTCCTGGTTTTAAAGCGACTAAAGGTCATCCAGATATGAGTCCCCCTAGTATGCAGTTAGTTCAGATTATATGCTCTCAATTTACTCCGATTGATAGATATACTGCGGAAAGTTATTGACAAGTCTGGAATCTCTACTAAAGTAATCAAGACCCTGTCAGTTTGAATACCTGGCGGGTGACTAACCTCCACCGGCATAAACTAACCTAGACAATAACACGCCAAACTTCCTCTACTGACTTTAATTCCAGTACAGAGCAGTATCAATTTTACGATTAAAGCAATCGATTCATTACTTCCAATTTAAGGTTGCTCTATTAACCTATGTAGAGACTATTGTTCTAGGTTAAAGCAAAAATCACAAAATTTCGATCAAGACTTATCCAATTCTGATTAATGCCTCAATTGAATATATCGAATCAATCATTCACAAACGCAGTTCATACAACCATTCCTAACATACAAAACTAGGGTTCTTCATACCCAGATGAAAAGGGAGTTTAATCCATGGAGAGAAGGGAAAACACCAAGTTTGGAAGAGATATGATCATGTGTTGAATGAAAATCTTCTACAAGCTAGAAATTGGCACCTATGGTGAAAGATCGAGCTCCAATGTCCTTAGATCGCTCAAATCCACTCCCAAGATGTTCTTCGTCACTTTCTCTCTCTAGAGTTCTATTTCTGTTCTTTAGAACTCAAAAATCCGGATCCTTTGCAATCTGCCCGAGCTGGGCTTTTAAAGGCTGGAGATTTGCGAGTTACGACCAGAGTTAAGGCCGTTACTCTCTTGCCCAGCCCGTAACTTCCTGTAAAACGACGATACTTCAAGCACTCCATAAACCAAGAGTTACGGCTCCAAAGGGGTAGTTATGGTTGAGACTGTAACTTTAAAAACGCCTCTGGGACCTTTAGCCTCGCTTCCCCAGAGTAACGGGTGTAGACGAGAAGTTACGGTCTAGACCGTAACTTCCAAGGTCTGGCCGTAACTATAAAAGTTCTTCTGGATCCCTGGCTTTTGCTCCTCCAAAGTTACGGGCGTCATAGGGAAGTTACGGTCTAGACCGTAACTTTCAAGGTATAGTCATAACTTTTCCCTACTCTCTGCCCGTTTGCTCCAAAATGTCCAAAAACTTGCTCCTTCGTACCCATTCACATACTAGGACCTAGTGGCGGAGCCACTGCATACTAAGGTGGGTCCCGGGACCCACCTTGGTTTGGGAGAAAATATGTACGCTTAAGTAATAAGGATTAAAAATCGTACCAAAAGTTATATCGGACAAGTCAATGGTAGGATATTTTATGTTGAAAACGTGGTTTAATCGTGGTTTAACCATTTCAGGTTTATTCATTATATATCGAGCAAAACTTTCTTTTGTTGAAACTCGCTAGATTCTTTTTATCCTAATAATAAATTCAATATATCAGATTTTAAACCTCAACTAGATTATTATATGTACACTTTGATGTGAATATAGGCTAGCTATTGTCTAAAACTATATAGAATTAGGAGTTATTTTTTGAATCATGGTAATTGAAAGAAGTAACTTATTGTTGTTGCTAACTAAGGCTCCACTGCAAGTATTGAAATGACATTTTCAATGAGCCACGTGACAACACTCTTTGGTATCTAATGGGTGACATAATCATGAATGATTATTTTATAAGGTATATTGACATCGATATCATATGAATGCAAGTAATATATGAGAACACATTATGGGGCACTGCAATGACTCAAATTTTCTTGCAATATAAAAAAAAATTCAGACCCACCTTACATAAAATCTTGGCTACGCCACTGCTAAGACCTGAAACATCATAAACCAACACAATCTAGCGTAAAATAGGTTATGAGAGCGAGAAAGCGAGCTCAAACAATCAAGAAATGATGGCAAAAACATGTCTAAAGATGGTGTTATAAGTTATCTTTCCTACAATAATGACAGAACATACCAGTTTGTGATGTCTCTGACTGGCTTTTATCCCGCGGTTGATTTTATGGTCACCTGGATGCTGCAAGAGAAGTTGCCAAACCAACAGATTCTTCAACTTTTCATGGATTTGCATTAGCTCCATTGAGATGTCTCAACAAATCTGTACACACTGTCCAAATCTGGAAGAGGTCCAACATGAGCATTTGTATCGTAAGTCATAATCTGCTAATACTTTTCATTCAAACCCAACAAAAACCTTATGACTTTGCCCCTCTCTTGATACCTCATCACTGTATCATAAGTGCGAGAAGGGAAATCACAGTATGAAATGGGTAGATAACTTTGATGTTCATCCCATAAGAGCTTTTGAGAAGTTTGATACTGCCTAATTGTGAGATTTTCTTCATTTGCAAAATCTATTTTCTCTTGTAGATTTGCAATTCGAACTAAGTCTCCTTGACTAAACTTGGATTTCAGATAATTTCCAAGTCTCAACAACAACTTTGATGTTCCTTAAGCTCGAAACAATATCCTAAAAGACATAGGTTCTAATCCAGCATACAACAGTTCAATTCACTCGATCTCATGTTCTATAGGAACGATCAAATAGAGGCGGTACTTGAATCGTGCCCAAGGACGAAACCTAGTTTTTTTGGTGAGGAGGGCGACCTCCATTGACTCACTCCAAAGAAAGTAATTATCATCATTGAGCTTGAATCCTATCACATACAGGAAGGAGTTGTCGTTCTGTGCAAGATAGAACGAATTTGAGTAAGGATCCTCAT